GGTCGTGTGAGGTACAAATGTGCGGTCCGCGGGGGGTTGGGGGTGTGGGGGGGGGGGGGGGGAGGGGGGTGTCGAAGCAGGAGCAAGACCAGGCACAGAGAAGGGCTGGGAGCGGGTGCGCTCTGCGGTTCAGAGCAGCCCCAGCCAGACTCAGCCAGCTTGCGAAGATGCAGGAGGAGGTCTGAAATCAAGAAAAGCAGCTCAGCTTTTCCCTGCAGAAACAGTTAACTACCACCCCGCCAAACACAGCTGCCTCCCCTGCTCAGGCCACAGGATGCAGCAGGCAGTGGGGGGGTGACTTGGAGAAACAAGGCACTGAAAGGTGCCATTTCCTCATGATGCCATCTACTCCAGCCTAACACAATGGGAGACAAGGAATTATTTAAAGAGGGCACTGAAACTGTCAGGGACTTTTCCTTGGCAGTAACAGAAGTCAGGGGATGTTTCAGATAAAGGAGAGTGTCCATAATTAGGGTTACACATAGTGTGACAGGAAAAAAAACCAAAACATCCCAGCCAAACACATCTCAGTCACAACTGGTCTTCCCTGCCAAGTCAACGACTTAGCACTAGTGAAGCCTTGGATAAATTCCTGCTTTTTGATTTACAGTTGCCCTTGACATAGGTTGGACAGGGACTGGCACATTTGTTCCTGACCCATCTGGCTGCCAGGACACCCCAGCAGCAGGGCAGTGTTCCTTAACTGCACCTTACCAGGTCCTGCTATCATGCAGGAAACATCCAACCAGCCCAAGCCCATTTACAGCAGGGCCATGCAGACAGCTGTGTGGGTGCACAAAGGACCACGTACGCCCAGTTTCTTCTTTTAAGCTTTGCCCACTTATCCAGGCTTAAAATAACAAGACATGCAACTGATCTAGAAAAATCCAGCTGCTGGAATAAAAACTACTGTCTGAAAACTTGTAAGCAGAAAATGAAAATACCATAGAGAGCGCTATCATCATATCCCTGTTTGGGGTTTAGCAGGCCTGCGCTTTATCATAGACCAAGAAAAGCTACCACTCCTACGTTTGAGGAAAATATATCTGCCTTAAGGTATTTTCCAGGTTTATCGACATTCAGCATGGGGCTATTTCAATTTGATCACTAAAAGTGGTGAGACATGATCAGGCATAATCATTAACTGATCTCCATTTGTATTCCCTATATGGCACATGATTCACAGCATGCCCTGGATGAAAGTCCATAGCTTGAGTTGCTCCGTGAAACACAGTTCTGGAACAGAAGTAGCTGTCTCCACACCCTGGGACCAGCACAATGCAAGACCTGAGCCCTCGCTGTTTGCCCCTGGGGCAGACTGAGGGGCGATCTGGTGAGGTACAGCCTGAGCACCCACCTTTCTGACTCTAAGGGAGCAGTTCCATTAAGTAAAGGTTTAAACCATTACCACAGCAGAATGCGGAGCCTGGAGAGGGAGCCATGGTGGGGCCACCAGGAACAATGCCTACTTTTCACTACTGCTTGTATTTTCAGTCTGCAGAGAGAACAATAGAAGCACATATTATACAGTTCTAGGTATATTTTTTCCTCAAGCTTGCTGATAGACATGTTCATAAGACTAGCAGCAACTTCTTTTCACAACAGCAATTAAAAAAGAAAATGTGCTGTGAAGGCAGGAAAGATCAGGAGTTTGCCAGTGGAAGAGAATAGATAAATGACAGTGCTCAGCTCAGGCCCGCATGCAGGAACAGAGCTGACTAGGTATTTTCTCTCTCCTGTGGCTTGTGCCTGCACCCTGTTAGTGTACTACCAGCCACACATAAAACAACCAACCAACCCATACCCACTTACAGCATGGACACACACAAAGCTGTGCTGGCACCTGTAAGAAAAAGTGTGATACCACACTGAGTGTAGTCTCTGCTCCTGCTCTTTGTTATGGCCCTTGAAAGAGTAGCTCTGGGATACAAAAACAATTAGGCTAATCCATTTGCACTGGTGTTAAAAACAAAACAAAAGAACAAAAAAAACCCCAACTCTGCTGAGGTCAGTGTACCCATGACATTTTTATCATGTCGATCAGTGATTCAAAATAGGAAACAGACAAGACTCTATAGCTAGGGTCTTGTTCCACACCCATCTCTTTCACCTTCAGCATCCCATGCTTTCAACAGCATATCCCTCCCACAAGCATGTACTCCCATGCACTCAGGAGTTACATGTGTACCTCCACTAGAGTATGGACAACAGAATTAGGGCATCAGTGCTCTGGCTGAGAGTGAGGGGTGTGTATGGGCTATGCACACTTTGGATGTAAAGTCCCTGCTTGAAAACAGTTTTTCATAAGCACCTTTCCTGCTTAAGGCCTCACCAGCATTCACATATAGACTCACTTCATTGAGAAAGGTTAAGTGTTTTCCTTTTATTCAGAAGACTTGTTCTGTTTCCAGTGATACTTTTCCATGTGCTTCAAACCAAAGAGTCCCTAGTTTCATAACAGCACCATCAGTCTACCACACAAAAAGCAAACAAATCAAAACCAAAGTTCCATGATGTGATATAGCATAAAGAAACAAATACAGCTAACACATTAGAGAAATAAACATTTACATAAAGTTATGTATGTTGCAATAAAACTGGTAGTATGCAATTAAAAGATTGATAAGATTACCAGGTCTGCTAGATGTTTAAAGCAAGTCTACTTAGGCTGTATCTATACTGTCATGCTGGTTTTAGTGCATGACTTTGCACTCAGGACCTAGCTATCTCAACTATCCACACTACGTGTGATGGGCTTTCATACAACTTCCCCTACAGCTAGCAGTGTGTACACAAGTGTCTCAAGCTACCTGTCCAGACTCAAGCAGTGCTTGCAAAGCTGCAAATATGTAGCCTAGCGCTGTGCCCTCCCTATGAATATGGCATTACAGGGTTCATCTGCATATGCCTGGTTAAGAAACAAAACAGTCAGTAGTGTACTATAACACCTTAAGTAACATGGAATCTTAGATTTTAGAAAAATATTTTGGCAGTTCACAAGTAAAAACTATCACTATTACAAAACATCTTGTAATACTAGAATATCTAGCTTAGAAAGAAATTTGTTCTTATTGCTGTAGCATGTAGTTTTCAGGAGCTGTGTCAGCATGAAGGTATTAGTGGGTTTCCCACTTGTCATAGTCAGCTTGTAAGGGTATTCATAGGAAGATACACTTTCCCATTTAAAACTCACACAATTTTCACATGTTTAGGCTGCCCTGACTTTTTTCAGACATGTGCATAATTGACACCTGGCACTACATATCAAAGTTTCACCCAACTTAAATTGTTCCATATAACAAATTTAATCTGCAGCCTTTAAACAAAGAACATTCACTCCAAAAAGAGTGAACACCAGCATTGACACCACCTTAGCTACTTGAAAATCCTATAACTGTGTTCTGACAGCTATCAGATATTAACTCATTCATTTCATTTTGTTTGGTTTCTTCCTTATTCTCATGGTTGGGGTGATGTTTTGCATTTCCAGCTTTTTTAGACCTTCTGAGAAAAAATTTTGTCAGTAAGTAACATAACTCAGCCACATTTAAAAGAATGCAAATGCTGGACACAGCAATCATGAAAATAGTAAACACTGTCTTTTCAGTGGGTCGAGAAACAAAGCAGTCTACTGTGTTGGGGCAGGGCCAAGCATTACACTTCATTAAGCGAGGCATTCGGAACCCATCGTACATGAAATAAAACGCATACATGAAGACTGCTTCAAAGACCAGTCTGCAGAAGATGCTGCTAGTGTACGTCCACCACAAGGAGCCCTCAATACGAAACCTCTGTTTTCTGATTTCTTCAATGTCCTTGTATTCACATTTCTGGTCTCCCTTTCTGAACTGCCTCTTCTTCTCATGCCTCCTGTAAGCTACATGCATTGCCACCAACAACGCAGGTGTGGAAACAAAGATCAGCTGCAGGGCCCAGAGTCTGATGTGAGAGATGGGGAAAAAGTGATCATAGCAAACATTCTTGCAACCGGGTTGCAGAGTGTTGCAGATAAAGTCATCTTGTTCATCTCCCCAGACTCTCTCTGCAGCCACAACCAGGATCATGATACGGAAGATGAACAGGACTGTGAGCCATATCTTCCCGATGCTGGTGGAGTGCTTATTTACACCTCCTAAAATGGTATGCAGAGCTCCCCAATCCATTCTCTTCTTTTAATGGTCTGACCTAAGACAAGACAAATAAACAATCCAAGATTAATCAAGTCAGGAAACAAATACCATCAAGCATGTGGTATAAAATAAAGGCAGTATCACATAATTGCAGCATATCCATTGGCCACGGTAACATTTTGTTGACGCAGTGGGCTTACCTATAAGCAGTCATAAATAATGATCTAATCATGTACCAGCAGGTAATATTTCATTACTTGATTACACACATAGTATCACATTCATTTAACTTCTAGATGTATCTGCCAACTGAAAACAGCTATTAGCCACATTAAGTAGGAAAAGCAGACAGGGGAATTTGATGAAAACAGTCTTAAATTAAAAGCTACAACTTCTAGTAGTCTGGTAAGAGTAACAAAAGAATAGAAGATGACATCAGCCAAAAGTAAGGTAGGTGTTTTGTTAAAAATTAAAGTGTTAGAGAGCTAGAATTCCTATATGAATTAAGCCAAGTTGGCCCATCCTTAGCTTTAGTAAACAACATTTTCATGAGTACATTCCAGCAATAAAGACAGACCTTGAGGAACTGCTGCTGATGCTCTGCACCTCCCATGAGCAGCAGGTCTGGATAACCTGCATTCACAAATTTAAAGTGTGACTGTAGGGCTCTATTGTTAGTCGAAGCAAATTCTGTAATAGCTTGAGGCAATGAAGGTGAAGTCTTTGTCATTATCAATCTCATTTTGAGCTGGATGCTTAAAATCAGTGCTTAAAGATTCATCCCGAGGTTTGTCTTTCTCTCCACTAACTACAAAGAGAGCCTAGGGTAACTAGACAAAGACTCCTTCATTGTCAGTGCCTGTCAGGTGATTTTTTTTTTTTCCCCCCCTTGTAACACAGACTGCGTTACTCCTAGAATAGAGGAGACATTTCAGAGGCTGGCAGAGTGCTAAAGTCAACATTTGAAGAGTTCAGACAGGCCAGCAGTAGCTCAGAGACTTTTCAACAAATGCATATAGTTTCCAGTAGGCAAGTTTCAAAGTACTGTGACTGTACTCAATTAAAGGATTTCACCTTTGTCTCCCACATACCTCCCCAGGAACTCCACAATTGTCTGGGTTTGCTCAGCTTCCACAAACAACAACCTTTCACAGAGACCATTCAGAGACATTTCAGCCCACCTCCCCCCACCCCTCCACTTCAGACGGATTTACAGAAAGCTAGTTTGCAAGCTACTCTGAATTCAAGAAACCAGCATTTCTTATGCCTATCAGCCAGGATGCTCTAGAAGTGCTCACAGGTATCTCTGCTCTGAAATTCCTCATGAAGGTTTTAATTTCCCAACTTTGTTAATTAATTTGCATCTCAGAAAACATCTTTCTTTGGCATTTACAGCACAGGGCACCAATAAGCAGAATCACATTTTCAAGGTTTCTAGAGAAGAGCAGCCACTGGCACAAAGGCCATCATATCCATCATGTTAACAGAATTCTTAAGATTTTCCTGACTCTGAGCTGGGTCACATTGCATGAGGAAGAAAATGAAGACATTTCTTTGCAGTTATCTTCCATGTCACACTCCCATTCTGAGTAATGTCAAAAATCTTTCCTTCGGCTTTACAGCAGAATTATATCACATACAATAATACAGAGCATCAGTCAAAGTACACAACAGCTCAGGGAAAAGGAGGACATTTAATTGTTATATGAATGCAAGGTTCTTTTTTTTTTCTTGAGTTATTGGAACGTAAGTAAAATCTCCCTTCACTGGTTCCATAAACTACATTTCCCTCAGATCATGTTGGTTGACTGCATGGGGTTATACTTCAAGATGTGAAAGCCAATGGGGGGAACCCAAGATTTTCTTCAGATTGGAGAGAACCTTTCCTGAGCCTCCTTCAGGATGCAAAATTTATGTGGGCTATTACCTCTGTATCTGTCTGAAAACAGTCCTGGAAGCAGAGTTACCTTCCTATCCTGCTAGGTTATTTTTCCAAGAAAGTTTATTTTTCATTAGGATACAGATACAGAGAAAAGTCTCTGTAGATTAACAGCCCTATGAGGGCACAGGAAAGACCCTTAGTAACAGATATACTTACAAAACATACTAGCCAGGTTTTCAAGTATTTGTTTCCACCCCTTTTTCTGCCATCTGATTTTTCAGTCAGCCTTTCTTTCAGGATTTGCTTTGGAGAATATTGTACATTAAACAGAGAAACAGTTACAATTTTATTAGCGTTCTCTGTTACTATTACACACACATTGCAATTACAGTACTTATAAAATGATGCTACAACTAAGTATCATGACTAGACATACTTACGCACATCTGAATATAAATCCTGTAGAAGACTGGCACCATGCAAACTGTAGTATTCCACACATCATTCACCCATCCTTTAATGTCATCAGACTCTTTGCGTTTCTTCTCTCAGTCATTGTTCCTTCTCCCTACCTGTCAGCTATCTCCTTACAATGTGAAAGGCTAAGTGGAACATGTGCATCCCCTCCTGATATGCCCTGTTTCTTACACTTCACCTGTTGCTGTACTCCAATACTGCTGCCTTTCTGTTACCACAACTTCACAAGGATTTGTTTCCTCATGCAATCACTCCTCCCTGTCTCCCTGTGCAGAAGTGGGTTCAAAATATGAGTGCCTCAGGATGTACTTAAAGGGTACCTTGTCTTCAGTGGCAAAGTTAGCTCAAGATGCTTCCCCACTACTGTTTGCTCCTGAGGTCACACTGTAGTTCTCCATCTCCCACAACTTTTTGGGGGTGCATTATAAACCAAGTGACTTGTTCAAAAGTTATTCCCAGTACTAGTATGTTTTGTTTTTTTTAAACCTGATCCATTTCACCAAACAGCTTTACAGCACAGATCCACAAAGCATCTGAAAAGCACAAATTTCATTTAAAAAAAGGCTGCAAATTGCAAAGGACGGGTAAGAATGAGCAGTCAGTGGGGAAGAGGGGTTGGCAAAGCTTTACTGCTGAGGATAATACATCGTGAAACTATACTCTTCATTTGACTTTTTCCATCTCCTTTGAGAGTATATTGTGCTTGCTAAGCCAAAATATGGTGCTTCAATTCTAGCAAAAGCATGTCTGTATCTGGACAGATGCAAAAAAGGCCACCACACTTCAGAGAGGCAGGCTTTTGCCCTAGTGACGTTTCCGCTCCTTCCCCCAAAAGCCTTTATTTCAAATCTGCCGAAACCCTCCCACCTTCACCATTCACACCTACCTTTCCAAATCCTGCAACTATCTCTTCAGGTCTTCCTGCCACCATCCCCTATTTTTCCTGGTGCTTGCCAAGCTAGTCACCAACCTTTGCCCCTTCTTGCTGTACCCTCATGGCCTCTCAGGCTTGTTTTTATGCTGGTGGAAAGTCATATGACTTCTGGAACACTCCAGAGAGTGATATAGGCAGTGATCAGATACCTGTCAAGTCTCACTATCTTCTCCCTGAACAGTGACACAGTTGAGACTGTAGGGCCATAGTCAGGCAGCCTGAATTCCATCCAAATACTTTAGCCCCAGTGTTTCCTACTAGCTGGCTTTAAACAACCCTCGTAAGTTTTTAATTTTCCTTAAAAAAAAAAATAAATTGCTACTGGGCATGAAAATAAGCCTTTCCAAGCCTCAGCATAGATCTCTGTTCTGCTACCAGCTGAACCTTCTGTTCCATTTCAACAATCAGAGGATCATGATAGTATATGGCTGTTACAGTAGGAGTTTAAAAAAACCAACAAAACTATCATAGAAGATCACCATGCTCCACTGAAAAGTTAGTTACAAGGGAAATGGTTCTATATGATCACACAACATGTAGAGAGGCACATAAGCAGGTGTTTTGTTTTGGGTTTGGTTTTGGGGGGTTTTGTTGTTCTGTTTGTTGTTTTGTTTTTTCACTTGTAGGCTAGGCAGCAGCAAGAGAAGAACTACACCTTAACCATTTCTGTAGTTCTCCAGCTTCTGGGCAGTGTTTTGAGCTCTGTGCTGCCATGACTAGACTGCCTTCTACTTTAGAGCTAGCTCCTTTAAGCCTCCATTAAACCACAATCAGAGCACACTGCATACACCCAGCGAAAATCCCTGCAATTCACAACACTGAGGACAATTATCATTGAGCTCCTGTGTTTATGAGTACAGCTCATTAACAGACACTTTTTTCACTCTGTTAAAGACTGTTATACTGCAAAATCATTAGTCAATGGTTAAATCCACAGCTTCAGCAAACCACAACTAGAATACAGTGAAGGTAAAAACAGCAGAAGATGCATTCCTTTCAAATACACAGCATGCTGCTTGCTGCTATAGGATATTATCAAGCAAAAAAAGTAGTCATTTGCAAGTATTACAATATTTGCTTATGCTATAGGAACATCTAGGAGTCCCATCCAAGAAGAGGTCCACAGTAGGCTAACTTATGCATAAATTCAGAGTCAGATTATACCCTTCTTCCCACAGCTACAAATTGGATACCAATTTACTTACTTTACTGGAATTACACAGAAATGTAGAGGGTGTTCACGACACCTCCACTCCTATCAAAGTTCAGTGTAGGGTGTACCAAGAGTTACCAGTTTGGTGTGACAGTGCACCACTCTCACTAGTACCTCCAGATACTGATGCAAGATCAGCAGTCTGCCAAGATAAAAGTCACTTTATCTCACATGGGAATGCATTAACCTAGACAATCTTTAAGCAAAAAAGCACTGGTCCCGAGTGTCACTCACCACACCCTCAAGCTGGGGACAAAGATAACTCGGATGTCTGAGAGTGGCAGTTCTAATGCAGAATTTTTGCCATAGAAAAGCTTTAGAACATTTAAACTGCATCAGACCCAAGATCATTACCAAAATTATTTTATGACCCAACTTCAGACAAGAAGTACTGGTGTATGTTGAGGTCCAGCATGCATTCAAAGGCATTGCTAATACAATCTCCCCTTCAGGTCTTGACCTAAATTATGCTGGGAGCACTAGCTCATACAGGGGCTGATAACCAGCATCAAGGTGTCTTAGACCTATATATGCTGTTTTATA